GGGGGATCCCCGCGCCCCCCGTCTCCCTCCGCCCGCCCGGCCTGAGGCGACGCCTGAGGGGAGCGGCCCGGCCCAACCTTCCCCCCCGGCTTCACCTCCGTCCACCACCTCTCCACAGGTCCCCATCACGCTGGGCGTCTTCCTCAACTCCTACTACGACGTGAAGTTCAACCTCCTGGGGATGGCCTTCGCCACTTTGGGCGTCCTGGTGACCTCCCTCTACCAAGTGGTGGGTAATGGTGCGGCGGGGTGAGGGGGGGAAAAGGGGGGGAGAGCCTTGTGGTGGTGGTCTTCAAGCTGCTTTGGTGCCTCCGGTTAGATCACCCTTTGGGTAGCGCCTTTCCTCTCAGGAAACCTTCTGTGCTCCCTTAATTAGTTTTAAACAAACCCCGAATCGTGATAGTCCTACACACACACCCTCGCTGTAGTGTTGAAGGAATTGACCGTCCTTGCTGCTCAAAAAAAAATCAGGGTGTCGTCTCTAACGTGCTGCTGAGCATCTTTTCAAGGGGTGAAGGTCGTTCTGTCGGTGAAACTCTGTTTTTTCTAGAGAGCACAGATTTTTTCTCCTTGCTGAAGCAAGTGCCTTGCGTTTGAGCCTTTCCCTAGAAAGGGCATTTTCCGGTCCTTCAGTTAATCCCATGGTTTATCCTTGGGCTACATATGTCTTATCAGTATCCTCCTTCAATTTCGGCTATACACAATCTAAGGTGTAGAGGGTGCATTAACATGTATAATTAATAATATTGTCTCTGTGTGTATATATGCGATCGAACCTGTCTGGCTGATTATGATTGAAAAAATAGGTATGTCCAAGAGCTACCTTAGTGCTTTTGGCTAATAACATTGTACTAACAGCTCACAATCAGATCATTATCATCCATGACTGTAAGAAGCCTCCCAAATTAAGAGTCCCCTGTCATGTTGATATTATAGTCATGGTCAATTTAAACATGAATTTCATTGTAAGGGATGTACCGTGCCTCCAAAATAAGCGACGCTCTTTGACCCGTAGTGTGCCAGGTGATAAATAATGGTCTCTTTTTCTGTTTTGGGGCAGGAGGAGGAGGGAGATGCTAAAATAACTTTTAAGTGATGGTGTGTGTACTGGAGAAATGACAGCATCCCAGCGAAATTAATCTGTAATTAAAAGGAAAAAAAAAAAAACAACTTAGCAAGTTTATATGCTGGAATCCATATTACCACTTCATGTGGTTTATGAATTATTAAAGTAAATGTCATTTTCTACAACAGAAAGATGCATCTTTTTGCTCATAACATCTCTCTTGATAACTGTAGATAACTAATGTTGTCTCTTAAAGTATGCTGCATTGAAAATGCAAGTTATAGTCGATCATAGTCAGTATTGAAGTGAAATTCAGTAAATTGGAATAAACTGGCGAAAGAAAGCTAAACATTCACTGATTTTGTTAGCTTGTGTTTGAAGGAAAATGAGAAGAAAAGGAGCAGAAGCAGCTCTCTGCTTAGGCAAAGGTGCTCAGCGCCGTCATAAACAGGATCTGGAATTTGTCTTGAGAATAAAAGGGAGTTGGCATTTTCTTCCCAGCTCTGTTACTCTTTTGCTCTTCCTCAAGTGTAATAGAATCACAGAATGGTTTGAGTTGGAAGGGACCTTAAAGATCATCGAGTTCCAACCCCCCTGCCAGGGGCAGGGACACCTCCCACTAGACCAGGCTGCTCAAAGCCCCATCCAGCAGGGATGGGGCATCCACCTATTGCCTGGGTAACCTGTTCCAGTGTCTCACCACCCTCACAATGAAAAATTTCTCCCTGATATCTGATAGAAATCAACCCTCTTTTGGTTTAAAACCATTATCCCTTGTCCTGTCACTACACTGCCTGATAAAGAGTCCCTCCCCATCTCTCCTGTAGGCTCCCTTCAGGTACTGGAAGGCTTCTATAAGGTCTCCCCAGTGACTTCTCCAGGCTCAGCAACCACAACTCACTCAGCCTGTCCTCATAGGTGAGGTGCTTCAGCCCTCTGGTCATCTTTGTTGCCTTCCTCTGACCCCACTCCAACAGCTCCATGTCCTTCCTGTGCTGAGGGCTCCAGAGCTGGAGGCAGCATTCCAGGTGGAGTCTCACCAGAGCAGAGGGAATCACCTCCCTTCACCTGCTGCCCACACTTCTTTTGATGCAGCCCGGGATGCAGTTGGCTTTCTGGGCTGCCAGCGCACATTGCCAGCTCATGTCCAGCTTTTCATCCACCAACATCCCCAATATATAGAATATATTAAAATTATATATATAATACTTTCCCCCCAAGCTATAGGAAAAGGAAGGTTTAGGCACTCAGGGGCTTTTCATTGCCCCTGCGTGTGATTTTCTGCTCACACGGCTTGTGTGCTTGCAAGAGACAAACATACAGGCCTCCAGTTGGGCAAAGGTAGAAGGTCATGCTCAACAATTTTTTTTATGTGGTATTGTCCACATCAGACTACCTTTGTATATGTAGCCAGTTTACTTTTGCTCAAATTTTCCATTTCTGTTTTTTTTTTCCCCTCACATTTAACACCTTTCTCTTTTGGTTTTAGTGGGTAGGAGCAAAGCAGCATGAGTTGCAGGTAAACTCTATGCAGTTGCTGTACTATCAGGCACCAATGTCCTCAGCTATGTTGCTGTTCATCATACCCTTCTTTGAGCCAGTCTTTGGAGAAGGAGGAATATTTGGGCCCTGGACGCTTTCTGCTGTGGTAAGGCTTTTATTGACTTTATTTAAATAAATAATCATCATTGATGAAGTTAGATTTGATCGTAAAATCTGTTTCTTGGTGAAACAGATTTTTGTCCGGTTTTTTACTGTGACGAGATGGGCATGTGCAAAATTCAAAGCAACCTGTTTGTGCCTCCCCTGCTTCCTCTCAGTGGAGTCTTGTCTGTCAAGTGATTTACCTCCTTATTCTTGTTTCTGTTTAGAGGGCATCTGAACAACAGGAAAATTTGACAAAATCCAGAAGCTTCCCCTAGTGTATTAAATTAAAAAAATATGTAAGTGCCCTGGTTCCAGCTCTTACTGTCCACTCAGAAAAGAGATAAGCATGCTCACTTTCGACACTCTTAACTCCTCTTCTGCGGAGGGATGCCAGTATTGGTGGCTCTTCAGAATTGCTGGTTTATTTTCACCAAGAAGGCTGTAATTTCTCTCTCTATCCTTCTGTCCAAAAAAGAGCCAGTGGCATATTCACACCGCTGCTGTTCAGGGTCATTTCTTGTAGCACTGGAGTTTATGAATGGGACAGCAAGTATTCATAATAATAAAATGGGATATTTTTCCAAAATAGTTTTTGTTGTGACCATAAATAAGACTTTCTCTCAAAGGTAAAGATTGCAATCTCTATGTGTATGAGTAGCCTGATTTTCCAAATCACTCTTAAATGTTCACTGAGAGAAAAGGCTTGTGGTTACATCAGTATATATTTATGGACATCATAGCCTGAGCTACTTATACACTTCACCAATGTCTGTACTGATTTGAAGCTGTTTCTATTTTTGTTCTCCTTATGTTTTTCTTGCCTGATATTTTGCATTTGAAAGTAAAGGAAACTAAATAACCTGAAATGTATCTCCAAATGGCCAGAATCACGTCAGATTACTGACTCTGTCCATTAATCCACAGATAATGGTACTACTGTCTGGAATAATAGCCTTTATGGTAAACTTGTCCATTTACTGGATCATTGGAAATACGTCACCTGTCACGTATCCTTTGTAACATTAGTTGTTTCTCCTGTTTCCAGGTGAATTACCTTAACATTCATTCGGGCTGATTTACTGTGGGAAAGCTGTTTGGTAACCTGCCTGCTTTATCTTAAATGATGAAGCTGGAAAAGCACGTTCTTGTTTTAGCGCATATTGTTTCTCTGTTCGGGGTTTGTAGAGATGATGGCAGTTAACTTATTGGTGTGACCTTTATACCTATAAAAAATATTTGCCCGTACTTGGAGGAAGCGTTGGCCTGCCAGTTGGTTTGTAGTGTACGATGGGTCTCTAGGTGGAGAGTCTTTATCGTGGGTCTTTAACTGCAGGAAAGTTGCATGAGTTGAAGTCAATGTGATGTACTGTTGCATGCTTTGGATGTAATTAATGAAGTTCCCAAGTTGTTTCTGTTTACAGGCGATACCAATATTTGCTATTACCCTTAACAGATGTCTAGGTATAACATGTTCGGACATTTCAAGTTCTGCATCACCCTCCTGGGAGGGTGCCTCTTGTTTAAGGATCCACTGTCTGTTAATCAAGGCCTTGGGATTCTGTGCACGTTGCTGGGCATTTTGGCTTACACCCACTTCAAGCTTAGCGAGCAGGAGAGCAATAAGAGTAAATTGGTTCAGCGTCCGTAAAGCAAAGGGTTCTGGAGGTTAGTAATATTGTGAAGGAAAACACGTATTTAAAAATGCATTGATTCTAGAATGCACGAAATTGCCTCGTTTATTTAGATCTGTGGGTTTAGTTTAACCGCCAGGATCGTTATTCTGTAACTAAACCGAACGAACTGAATTATGTAAAATGCTGGGGTTTGCCATCGCAATCTGTCCTATCATTTTCATTAAATTTAAATGGTAACTTAAAAGAGAAAAAGGCTCACTTCAAATTGCTGTGGAAATTGTACTGAAGTAATTATATTTTTTGCATACCAAATGAGATCATGATGGCTACATTTATAATACAGAGAGAGAGAGAAAGAAAGAAAAGGAATCTTGTCTTTGTGATCATGCCAGTATTACTGTTGTGAAGAAACTTGGAAGCACTCTTATGCAGATGTTCTGGTGTGTGATGATGCTTCCTCCTTTTTGTCTGGTGAACGATGAAGAGGCAACGTACTTTGCTCAGTGGTTTTAAAAGGGCTGCTGAGCTCAATCCTATTTCTTGTACGGTTTCTTACGTATGTTAGGCTTCAACACATTGATAGGTTTTTGGCTGAACAAAGTAGATAAAATTACAGGTGGAGAGAGACTAGGGGAGACATTGGAAAACTTGAAGCCACAGGCCAAGCTATAGGAAAGTAGGAAATCAGATCTAAACAGTTAATTGTTAATGTCCTGATGGACCAAAAGAAAAACGTGAGAAGTCATTCATGTTTTAGAAAATTCTATTACTGCTTTATAATTTTCTCTATGCCGAAACCAAGGCTTTACATGAGATCTTGTACATACTCCTGAACCTAATAAAATCTCCAATTTTGTGGTAATAGCCAAATATTTTGCAGCCCGTGCGTGCAGACGCCCATGCTAAAAATATTCTCGGCGAAATCTTCAGAAAGGTCACCATCTGTAATGGATGTTAAGGTTTCCCAGTTCTCTCTCCCTGCCTCCAGCCCCTACCTCCCTCACTCCCACACCTTTCCCTGAGAGTTCCTTTCGGTGGGAGCTGCAGGTTTGTCCCCTCTTGTTTCGGGGGGAGGCGCAGGGGCTGCCTGGGCAGTGCCGGGCAGCAGCAGTTCCTCGGCAGAGACAGGCCCTGGAAACCTCATCAAAGTGACTGAAGAGCGTGAGGAGGGACCTGCTTCTGCTCTAATTCGGGAACACTTTGAAAATTATTTCATGCCAGTATCGAGCGCTGATTTTGACAACGTGGAAGTAAGAAGTTGGGTGCTGTTCTGTTTAAAAAAAGAAAGAAAAAATAACCGCTTTCAGTAAATCTGGTGAGAACATATGTTCGCTAGATTTGCAGGGTTAGAATTTATTTGCAGTATCTTAATCCTTACATTTCGGGGTTTGTTTTATCTTCATCTACCTCTAGCAGATTTAAAGAGGGGAATTATTGGAACAAAAAAAGGTATTTATGTTTTACAGCCACCGACAGAAATGATACTTAGTTCCTCTAGGCTTTTTTTACAATAGAGGTTAGAAGTCTTTGTGTAAGAAACAATGCAGATCTTGTCAAGCTTGTAAATTATTTATTCTGTTACAGAGTTCTTGATTTTAAAAAAAAAGTTCTTTCTCTGTGTGACCCAAGTTTACACCATAATACTCTATATTATTTCAGAGTTACAGATACCTGAATAATTTCACATCTTTACCAACCGTGTCTTAGACATTGTACTGGTGCAAGGAAAATTTTTTGTATACGTTTTTATAAATCTATAATTAGTTTTAAAATTCAGCCTGGACTACTGGAAGATGTGTTCAGATAGGACAAATCTCTGGATGCATACCCTTCAGTACGTACACTGAGAAAGCCATTTGTGTCAATTTGTGCTGTGCACAATTTCTTCTAAAATGTAGGTAGACTGTAAAGGCTCTTACAGTTAGAAAGCAACAACTGAATTTGAAGCCTGTGTGACACCAAAATTTGGGATGAGACTGATGTAAATAAAAGTGGTAGAATGAACAAAACAACCGTCTCTGAAAATACAAAAGACTCTTTAAGGAGAGGAGCAGATCTGCAAGAGAAAGTTAACAATCATTAAAACAATACATTATAAATACAGTCTGTTGCTGGAATGTGTAAGTCGTGGAGGTCACTTCAGTGACACGATTTTTTTCATACGTTCAAGAGCTCTCTTTGATATTTACTTGTTGTATCTAACAAATAAAGTATCTTGAACTTTGTCATCTGGTTCAAAATATTAAACCCAGGAGGCTTGTGTAATCATGGGATAAATAGATATTTGTATGTATTGTTTCTTTGGATACCATGTGTAGGGTGGGAATAAATTTTTAATCACTTGACTGATCCCTGCTTTGTGCAGGGGAGAACAGTTGCTCCTGTCTTTTTTTCATCTTCTGCTGAAATTGCTTACACTAGGGGTCTAGGTGTGTGTAAGGCAAAAGGGTGCTACTTGAATTTCTGTCTATATAACTATTGCTAGGAGTTTGCGTCTTTTGGGGCTGAACTCATGACACAAATGAGGGAGGCTGCCACCTCCCCTCCCCTGGGCAAAGACGGGGACCCGCATGTCCCCCTATGCACACGCTTGCCCACTGACAAGCCACCTGTGGGCTTTTCTTCACCACTTCTTTCCCCCACCTGAGTCCTTCCTGAATGCTCCAGTCTCTGCGAGTTCTTTCCTTCGCTCCCTAGCAGAGAAGTCTGGATGCTTTCCCAGTGGTAGTGGGGAGGAGGGCAGGCAGGAGCAAAATGAAGTTAGCTGTTATGCTGCTAGGCTAGGGTAACTGGCACCAGCCAGCTCCTTCCTTCACAGGCAAGTATACGTCGATTTATACGTTAGGTGGACTGTGTCTTTCTTCAGGAAATTCTAAAACAACCAAAGGAGGGAATGGTAAACTTCCAGTTTAGATGGTTTTACTGGAAGCGCTGTGATAACTTCCTTAGCCAAACTTTTAAATCTGGAGGTAAGAGTAGAGTTTAATAAAAATTACTGATACTTACCTGGTGGGAAATTTGCTTATTCTAGTTTTTACTCTATCACTTAAATATGTTTTCCTGCTAATTATTTGTATTTCATTCAGGTTTGGCTTTCCCAAAAGAGTAATCTGAGACTTTCCACTTCTAACAATATGTAGCCATCACCCTGTAGGTGTCATCACAATTGGAGTTGTACTGTACAAACCCCGGTGTTTGCTTTCAGCTTTTCATTGTACTTCATAGTCTCCATATAAGTAAACCATGGTAACAAGATGGACCTCGGTCCTTTTCTGCCATCAAGCACTTTGCTGCTTGTATTAGCATTTGTTACTTTAAAAAGCTAACATTCATGTAGTTCCAGTGGAAAAGCTAGCGTAGCTAGCAGGGCGGCATTTAAAAGTTAGAGCAGATCCAGATGGCTCCGATTAAAATACAAGTGACTGGTGGTAAGTTATCTTTGCTAGCCTTGTCCCTGCAAAGATTTTAGAACAATATCCACGAGTTTTTCTCATTTTCCCCAAAGAAGTACGCCTTTGCTTATATATACTCAGTTCAAAGCTTTGTGTTACCTTTAACTTTGGTACCTCGCCAATGTTTGACAGATTTTGTATCTGGTTTTGTACAATTTGCTAAGTTCTCACAGGCTCTGGGGGCTCTGTGCCGGAGGAGTTTTCCTGTTGATGGGTGAGCAGCCACTCTCTCAGACTGGAGGCTGAAGGAGAGCATTTTGCTGCTGTTACATATATGAAAAGGAGGTTTGTCTTGCAGGAAGTCTACCTTCAAGACAGAGCTGCAATTCAGCAGGAATGTACCCTCTCTCCATCTCATATCGTGAAATGAATGCCCAGTGATGGCCCAGGGCTAAAGCAACGTTAAAGCCTTGTTTGGGCTACCTGTAGTTTTTATTAAACTTTTTCCAAAATATTAGTGGTAGTCAATGCTGGTGTAGTATTAAGATAAAAAACTCATTTTTATAATGTCTTGCATAATAGGAACTTCAGAAGAGTGCTTTATAACATTTTGGAGTACGGCTAATGTCTAGCCCATGTCTAGTTTGTCACATCTTCTGCAAAATCTATCAAAAGGTAACGATGGATTTCATAATTGGCATATGTATTTATTCAGTTGGGCTGCTGAGGAGGGGCTTGCTCTTCAGCAATACTGTGCTACTAAACAGTGTGCGTGCTGTGAATGTATTTAGTAGTGGTTTAGAAATAGCCTGAAATTCACTAACGTGCTTAGGAAGGGAAAAATATATCTCACTGATAGATGAGAGAGCTTTTTGTCGTCTTGCTTATAACAAAAAACGTGGGGTTTGCAGTTTAAGGGAGTTCAGAGAGCAGCCTTAGTGTCCCTCAAATCACCTTTCATAATGAGATTTTTCTCCCAAGATGCTGTTTTGCTGCCGGTTATGTAGTTGGTATCTTACCTGGATTTTTAAAAAATAGAGTTTGGATTGCAGACTTGCAGGTGTTTGCTTGTGTTGTGGGTTTTTTCCTCTTAAAATTTTACATTAGCCATTCACAACCCAACTTCCCTGTTTAATGAGAAAGGAAAAAAAAGAAAGGACTGTTGAATAAAGGAAAGGTAGACTGGATCTATAGTGAAGATATGTTTGGTGTGGCACAAGAATGTTACTCTTGTAACTGTAAAGATGCAGCTCTTTCTGTTTGTTTCTCTACTGTTGTAAACAGGTAGATGCCCAAAAGCCCCAGCTTTCTGCTCCATGCAAATTCAGTCTCTTCCTGCTGGTACGTTCTCTCATCGCAGTCTCAGCCTTCCATTTGACAGCTCAGTTGCTGCAAAGATGACTGGGATGTCAGCCACAGAAGGTTAAGAACACGAAGTGAAAAACTATCAGAAGGAGCTGATATAATCTTGGGTAATGAGAAATCCTATTCTAAGACACGTAGACATCTTACCAAAAAGCTGATGCTGCTGAGCAGCAGGGAGAGGCGGGGGTTTATCTCCAGGCAGGTGTTGCAAAGAATGCAAGAGCTGAGTTGTATGAATTCTTGCTGTGCCGCAGTAGTTGGCAAATTTAGTTTACACAAGCTTTAAGTAATATAAATAATGAAAATATAAATGCCATGAAAAAAAAAAAAAAAGTTGGATTCAGACTGTGCAAAATCTTTGCCAGGCTCATCCCACGGCAATGGTTCAGCTTCCTGAGAGAAGGGAGCTATTGTTCCACCTCCCCTTTGCCCACCGATGCTGGGTTTAGTGAAGGAGGGGTTGTGTTCTTAAAAGCCAGTCTGTTTTTTTTCAGCTGTATCGGTTGGTCCAATGAAAACATATTACCTCTCCCTACAGAGCTTGTCTTGCTGGAGTTACTGCTGCTGCTTTCATCTCACTGACCTGGAGTGTGCTCCTGTCCTCCTCCAGCAGCTGAAAGGTCTAATGGACCTTGGGTAATGGACCTTGGGCAGTGGAACGTACCCCATGCATGGCTTTGGGTTACTGCAGTGCCCAGTCAGTCCTGCTATAAGAACCCCAACGCTTCTCAAAGGGTCACAGTTACAATTTGTAGAACAACAAGAACTAAAGAAAGGGGAAATGTGATCCCTTTTCACTGTTTTAGTTGCAAGGCAGTTACTAGTCCTTTCAAATTTTAGTCTTTGTCATTTCCCTTCAGGAGGTGCATAAGAAAGCTCCCTTTCCTGTTTCAGTCTGCCCTTTCTGTATAAAGTATAATTATGCCATATTTTAGGGAATTCTGAAATTGAAACAGAAATTGTATTCACTGCTCGCATAAATGTATTGACTTTACCCAGTGGCTTTTTTTTACCTAGAGACCCTTGACTGCCTTCCAATCCAGAAAAAAAAAAAATTGCTTAAGATACAGGATGAGTCAGGTTAACCTGAATTAAGAGGTGATTTGCCAGCTCAGGAGTTGCATGTGCCTTCCCAGCTGCAGTAGCTGGTACCTAATAGGCACAATATGCTGCCTTTTTAATGGAAAGGCAGGAACAGACATGTGCAGATTAAACAAAATGTAACAAAGGTAAATTATGTATTTAGAAGCAAGTAGTGGGGATGAGCCAAAGGTTGCTTGAAGATTAGCATTGCAAAGATACATTCTGATTTGCTAGTGGCTTCACGGCAATATGAATATAAGTCTTTTATTTGAAGGCGCGTGGTTATATTTAAGGGGTTCCAAGAAGTCCAGCGCCACATGCAGGATGCACATGTGGGGTAGCAGTGTGTCAGAAGAGAGCAGGATTATTTTTAGGACTGTAGACGGCTGTGTCACATCCAGGAAGTGCAGGGAGGAGATCTCTGGTTGAAGCACAGCATAAGAATGTAATTTTTTATGACTTTGGCAGAGAAGACAGTTGTATTTTTTTTACTTTCTTACAAAGCAGAGGCTGAGGCAAATTTGTTTAAAGGAGTTGTGCTCTGATCAGGCAAAGCACAGGGAGTAATCGTGGCTACTGGGACCACAGAGCAGAGGTGGCTGTGATTGAAAAAAAAAAAAATTTAAAAAAAAAGTTAGTGGATTAAGAAACAACTGAGAGGAGTGTACAGCACATATACATCTAGGCAGGTTTTTAAATATAAGGTCTAAGTTTAGATGCTGAGCTCCACCATTAGGCATCTGAATAGCAGGACCAGATTTGTCAGCGTGAACTTCCTCCCTTTCAATTGTACTTAATGGAGAGTGGCACATGTTCAGCGTTTCCAGAAATGAAGCTGCATAGTTGACAGGTTTGACATTTTTTTTGGTCTCCGACTACATTGTCTGCTTTTTAGCAAAGAAACTGACTCCTTCTTCTGCTTCCTTACTCTGTCCGTAATGTTTTTGATCCTCTTTACCCTTTGGGGGAAAATAAACCATTTGTGCACTTATTTTCTGTTGTTTACCTAACTGCAGTGGCTGAATAGGTTTTGCTTTAGAATATACTGGACTTGCATATTAAAAAACTTTGATTAAGATCTTTTAACTAAGAGAAATTGTAGATAAATTACATCTACATGTGCATGTGGTGATTCCACTCAGGTTTCTGTCTCTGAGCTGAACAGAAAAAAGCCGCTGGTATTATACAGCGTCAACTGGTGTGAAATAAAGTGCTTCTTTCCAAGGAGTGGAAAGGCAAGGTAAAGGTCTTCTGGAATCCAAAGTGGTTTACTTGTTAAATGCATTTCTTGTGGTGTTTAGTCAAAAACTGGTATCCTACTTGTTAACCTGGTTGAGAGGAGAAACCAACAGTGATGGTCATATGTCCTTCGGGGGATTATGATACATTTCTGAAAATACCTGAGTGGCAAGATGATTTTTCTGATCAGCATGAACAATGTACCAATGTGGGTTTTTTTCCTGGAATCATTCCCCAGAGACCCACTTCTTCAGCTTTTCTTCAGGAGCAGTTTGCATAAGGCTGATCTA